AGGACAGCGACCGGCCTCCGCTGACGCCACTCTGGACTCATTTTCCCGAGCTCCTCGAGCCCATCTCTGAGGTGCCGCCGCAGAACATGCTGCACCTCCACCTCAGCGGAAACTGAGACAGACGGCGGCAACGCGGGCTAGAACGGTGAAGGGGTAAAGCGTTGAACAGATGAATGATGAGTAATCGCGGTTTGGTGTCTTCTCGGACGGTCTCAAGTGGTCTCAGACGAATATTGTACGAATAACGTTGATGTAAAGTTAAACAGCGGCCCCTGGCCCCGTTATTATTCGTTCCAACATTGCTTTCTCGATCCTCTGCGCGTCTTGAAGCCTTGAGGTACCAGTACATTGAGTTGCACATAATGGGCGCCAATGGCGCCCCAGGGGCTGATAGACGCCCAAAGAAACACGAGGCACATTATCCGGCAATGACCGAAAGCAGATGAACCAGCCAGGTTCGCGCCACCGTCCTTGTTGAATTCCTCTCGACGACTGCCATCGCCTCTTCTTGTGTCAACAGCTGGTACCTGCGTACCTGCGCCGGGAGAGCGTCGGATAGTAAGCTTGCAACGTTACGGCCAGATTTCTGTAAGCGGAGTGCTGCAACTAGTGACGCTGGTGGGTGAGTTGCCAGGCAATTTCGGCGCTGGACCGTTGTCGTCGAGGAACACTGCAGTCGTCTCCGGTAATTTACACAGCACGATGAAGCCAAGGTAGGCTGCCTGGGTTCTGAGGTACCGCTAAAACGGACTACAGATCAGCGCAGTAGACCTCCACGCCGGGCCAGTTAACGAGTGCCAAAATATATCGGTGTCCCGTCAGGTATCTTCATAGATTGTGATTAAGCAACCCATGACTGAAGCTCCTTTAGTCGCGTGCACGTCGAGGACGCATCGTTGTTCGAGGCAACAGTCCCGATAGATTGACACCACCAGGACGATTCAAAGAAGGCTTCCCGAGCCGTCTTAGCTCCGATCAGCCTATACACGCCTTCCAGCTAGCAATACGGAGGCTCACTGGCCGTTGCCAGCGGGCTTAGGGACAGCACCACCGAATCGAAAACTCTAGCGGAGTGGATCCGTGGAGTGCGTGTGCGAGGAGGGCAGGTTTGGGGCGCCCCCGACGAGTGCTTCCTACAATCCTGATGAGTTGACTGAATATCTACGATTGCGTAGGATGTGCGAGCCTAGCTTGCCCCACTGGGGACAGCACCGCCGACTCGAAGACTCTGGCGGAGCGGATCCGTGGAGTGCGTGCATGCGCGAGGAGGAGGGCAGGGTTAGGGCGCCCACGACGAGTCCTCCCACAATCCTGATGTGTTGACTGAATATCTACGATTGCGTAGCATGTGCGAGCCTAGCTTGCTCCACTGGCAGGACCGTATCACCGCCGTCGTGCGCCGCCATAAAAAAAACAAGAAAACTTGCATTCCAACTCCCGAGGCTAGATAAAGCTGCCATAGAAGAGTTGTTCCAGTGTTTTGTTCCGCAAGATGGATCACCGTTCCAGGACCAGTGCGTCGTCGATGTCGCCGTGCAATTATCGGGCACGTTTCGCCCAAAATCCAGATCTCCGTCCAGCTGCCATATCGCCGAAGCTTGCCCCGAACGATACAATCCTCGTTCTCTCGAGCGGTGCGTTCGACGACTGTATTGCCAGTAAGCCGCAGCCTGCGCGCATATATCGATGAGAAAGCCGAGTCGTGGTGGCCAGCAGCCACCGCGGCCCTGCCGAAATTGGCGTTGGCCTCCCGCAAATAGAGTTCCGGCGTTGCCACGAACGCGACCCGCCACCTCTTGCACATCTCGCGCTCGACAACAATGACATGAACTGTTACACCGTCTCTCGATGCCATTCAAGATTAACTTGGCTACGTAGACAACTCTGGTCTGTAAGCGAACATGTAGATGCAAGATGTTCTGCGATGGCGCGTCACACGCGGCCATCGCCTGAGCAACAATTTCTAACATCCACATTTGTCCTTGGATTCTGAAATCATGTACAGTATTGTACAGTATTCGGCCTGAATGAACTTAGAAATACGTATCTGAGGGGGTTTCTAGACGTATAGACTGCGGCTCCCCTCTCCTTATGTTTCTCGCCCGTATCTTCTCGCTAGACTCGCGATCGCTCCTTTTGCCCGGCAAACGCTCGGTCCGACTCTCACACAGGCGGACGGCCATCGCAATTTTACTTACCATACGCACAAGGAGCGCTACGAAAGTGCAGCAGGGAGGCGCAATATAGGCCAGTGTCGGTGGGGACCATGAACCCCGCGATCATGATCATGACTAGGAGCAACCAGGGTTGATCCGGAGGATTCAACAGCGCAGGGCCTGAACAGGCGGCACATGTAAGGCGGAAGATATACACGGTGGACTACATATTGCAACGCAGCTCCAACGTGAATGGCAGCGACACACAGGGCGCACCTGTACAATAGTACTCGCTCTCAATCTCACCCGCATAGCCCCCTTGAAAGATGATCGATGATCTAAGACGCCCGAGGTCAGTACAGCGCAATACACCCCACGACAGCGAACAACAACAAATCAGAAGTGTCAAATTCTGGAGCACGCGCCCGCGGGCATCCTCCCTGAAGAAATTCAAAACCAAAACAACATCCTAACATCCCCCCCCAGAAGAAAAGAAACTCTCCCACTCACCTCTTCCACCCACCCATCCCACCCACCTAACAACAGGCAGCGAACTGCCCAAGCGCAAAAAATTCGCCCGCGCCGCGCGAGAGTAAGCCCCATTGTGTTCGCGGCCGAAACGAGTTCCGCCGCAACCGCATAACTGTGTCTATGAGCAACGCGTCGCCCGGCGCGCGCGCGCGCGCGCGCCGGGGCGCTCGTATCTTCGCGCCCCGGCGGCGGCGGCTTCGCAGCACGCGCAAACGGGCGGCAGAGCGGCTTGGTTGAGGAGACGACTCCCCGCCTGTCCGCGCCGCGTACCGTCACCGTCGGTCTTGGGGACGGTCGCTTTCCGAAACGAGCGGGCGCGGACGCACTCTGCGTCTCCGGGGACTTTCCCCGCAGCGGAAGGGCGAGGGCGCAGCCTCTGTGCGTGAGCTGCGACGGCGGTTCTTCGGGCGGCGCGGGTGTGGAAGAGAACGCTGGAAAATCTCGCAAAAAAAAAGAGTGTGATTTGAAACTCCGCTTCGCTTGATCCCACGGGCGCTTGCATGCAAGTTCCCGCCACGATGGGCAGGCATTGCTGCAGCGATGAGCGCCAAACCCTCTCGCGAAGATGTGCAGGCCGTCCCGCGCAGCCTGTTCAGCATGCTCCCCAACATCTACGTCCTGCGCCCCCCGCAGGGCAAGCACTCGCGCAAGACAGACGAGCGCTGCTTCATCTACTGCGCGCAATCCGTCGTCGGGCGCGTGAACCGCCAGACGCCGAGGTGCCGCTCGCTGTGCCTGCGCAAGGTGTTCGTGCACGAGGTGTACAAGGCCGTCGCCGTGCGCGAGGCGGAGGGGCGGCGCGAGGTCATCCCGGTCAAGGCGCAGATCCCGCTGCCGCAGGAGGGCCAGGACCCCGCGGCGTTCTTCTGGCCCGTCGGGGACGACGACGACGAGGGGGCGGGGGCGGGGACGGGCAAGGGGCGGGAGGCGAGGTGCTGGGACGCGGGGTGGTACCTGTGGTACAGCCGGAACCCGTGGGCGGCGCGCGAGAGGATCAACGTGATGGCGATGCCGCTGCCTGTGCAGGCGACGTGGGAGGCGCACAAGAAGGGCGCGAATGTCAAGCGCGCCAAGGGCGCGGGCGCGGGCGCGCTGGGGCAGGACGAGGCGCGGTGGAGCCATGTCGGGCCGGGCATGACCAGGGGAGGGCCGCTCTTCCCGGATCTCGTGTGCGTCTGCGCGCTGTGCCAGCGTGTGCGTGTGCGGCTGGCTGATGTCTTGTGTGTTTCGCAGAGGGGAGACGGTGCTCTTCCCCGTCGAGCTCCCGTCGTTCGAGCCGATGCAGCGCATGCTCACCAACGTGCTCGCACCCGCGGGCAGGACCCTCGCGCTCGTAGCCGACACCGCCAAGTCCGGCGCGTTCCTCCAGTTCTCGGCGCGCTGGTGGGAGAAGGCGACGGGCCCCGAGCCGTGGACGCTCGCGCGCAACTCTATCGAGAAAGCGCGCGAGGTGCTGAAGAGCTGGGCCGACGAGGGCGACGAGGACGACAAGCGGAAAGGCCTGTGACGCCGTCTGTGTATTCCCATCTAATCTACGGACTGATAATCAATCATGTAGTCACAGTGCCCTGTAATATATGTCCTGTCTAGCATGTATCATCAACGACATCCACGCTCGCCTCGCCCCAATGCACAGTGATTGCCAACATCATGTTAGGCGCCGAGGGGCTTGTTGCGTTTCTCTCACGGACTGCCATTGACACTGACAGATATAGTCTTCCGCCAATACGAGCGACACCGAGAATCGACCCCAGCCTCTGCGCATCCCAGCATGTTCCACAACGACGCCCGCGGCGCGTACACCGCGCTCGAGCTCGAGGACGCCGCCGATCAGCAGCGCGCCTTCTGCCCCTCACCGGTGCCCCCCGCCAGCGAGGCCTCCGCGCCCGTGCGCTGGCTGATCATCGCCTGCCTCGTCTCCTGCGCCGTGTCGGCGCTCAGCCTCGGCTTGACGACGTTCTGGGCTGCTCCCTACCCTGCGCTCAAGCCCGCGTCCGCGCCGCGCTTCCCGAGCGCGTACATCGGGCTGGAGCGCGTGGACGTGTCGCCGCGCATCCTGGCCCTGCCGCCCGTGCCCAACTACCCGCTCCTGCTCTCCAGCGTGGACCGCAGCAAACCGAAGGACGCGGACACGAACGGGACTGTCTTCCATGTCGATCGGGATGCAAGTCACGCCATGTCCCGTCCCTCCCCTGCGCATCGCAGCTGATCGATCCTTCGCCGCAGCACACCACCGTGATGCAATTCCGCGTGCACGACTACGGGCTGGAGCGGTGCACGCTGAACATAACCGTCCCCGCGCCGTCCGAGCTCGGCCCGAAGACCTACCACGCCTCGCGCACCACGCAGCCGCTCGACGTGTGGACGCTCGCCGCCGCCGCGCTGCGCCCGCGCACGCTCTCCTGGGCTGCGCGCCCCGCGCGCCTCGCGCGGCTCGGTACGCTGGACTTCGCCGCCGGTACCTCCAGTGACATCCCGTGGTTCTCTTGCCCCTCCGACTCGCTGCAGACGTTCGAGTTTGCGTGCCCGCGCGGCGATGCGGAGTGCAGTGTGAGATTCAGGCAGGACCGCGCGGCGCCTTTGTTGGGTGAGTGGGTTGTTGTTTTTTTGTTTTGGGCGGTGCTGATCGCGCGCGGTGGATGGGCGGCAGGCGTGCAGATGTATCAGAGGCATAGTTAGATCCGCGTTCGTCGTTTCGTTGTGCGGTAGATCCCGCGCAGCGCTTCTGGATCCTCACTCAGCTGGAGCAATGAAGTATATATATGTGGGTTAGATCTTGTCCCCCGCAACAGCTGTCAATCGTGATGCCTGCGGTCTCGTTTTATGCTGCGAATCTGATATGTATCACAATACATATGACGAGGTTCCTCGTGGTGCTATCTGGCGCCTGTGAAGCTCCAGCCGGGATTGTACTGTCATTGCCTTGTTCTTTGCTCGAGTTCCGTCGTTTGCGGGGGTGGCCGTGATCGGTGATAACTCCAAACCCTAATTGCCCATTCTCTCGACGCATACACACTCGTAAGCACGCCCACTCCGCCGACGTTCATGCCCCTGACATCCCACAGGTTCGAGCTAAACCCGGGTGCGGCAAGCACAGCATCAGCACAGTATACATGTTCTCTCGGCTCCGGAGAGCTGTTATCTCGGAAGTTGCACGTCCTGGTGCTGATCGTTAGTCAAGGTTTGCAGCCGGGATATGCAACTCTCCGAGAACAGCGCCATACTGAAGCCTGATGCATTGAACGACGCGCTGTGATGGCTATTTTGGGGACTGCCACATTTGCACAGATGTGTTCAGCCACATCTGTGAGGCTGACTTTGAGCAAGGATATTTCCCAATGCCACATCGCCAGAGCGTATGTTGACAGAGGAAGGCGAGCCGTCGACCGCTCGTCTGTGCGTCTGCGATGTGGCCCCGGGGATCTCGGCGTCCGAAATAGCTTTGCGATATGTATATCAAGTGAGTTCCCCACCGGATACGCACCCGGTATCTAAAATGCACCATCGCTCATCAGGAAACGAAGCACGGCGCCCTCCCCGCGTTCCCTTCTCTCGTCCTGAACGGAAGGTGGGCAAACCTTCTCTGGCATGCCGGGGCCTCGTGAGAGCGCCCGCTTGAAGACGGGGGTATAACGAACGCGCGGCGCTGGGACTCGCGCCCCAACTGTCCTCTGCCACCATGTCGTACGCGCCCCACGAGAGCGCCGCGGACCTGCTCCTCGAGCGGTCGAACTTCATCGGCGGGTTCCTCGGGAACATGGCGTACGGTGCGTCCCCCTCCCCCCTCACGCTCTTCCCCGGGAAAAATAGAATGAAATAAGATAAACTGACTCCCGCTGCGACGCAGGCGTGCACGGCACGCTGTACTGCGTCTGCGCGTACCTCCTCGTCCGGCGCCGGCGCAAGGTCGACATGAGCATGTTCTGGCTCGCGTACATCACGCTCCTCTTCGCCGTCGCGACCATCTACGTCGCGTGCGGGATCAAGCTCAGCGAGATGCTCTGGATCGACGACCGCGACTTCCCCGGCGGGCCCGTCGCGTACCAGAACGCGCTCTTCTCGAACTACGTGCAGCTCCTGCTGAGCACGTCGTACAACGTGATGACGTTCATGGCGGACGGGCTTTTGGTGGGGTTCTTTGGTGGTCCTGTTCATGCAGCGGGCTGATACGGCGCAGGTGTACCGCTGCTACCTGATGTGGTCCAACTCGCGCCTCCGCTGGGTCGCAGCCCTCCCCTTCCTCTTATTCCTCGCATCCACCGGCAAGTCCCCTCTTCCCCCTAACCCCCCCCCTCTCACCGCCCACCGCAGCGATGTCCGTCCTCATGCTCTACGAAATCTCGCTCCCGCAGAGCAACCCCTGGCTGCAGACCGCCGCAAACTACGGCATCCTCTTCTGGTCCCTCTCCTCCGCGCTCAACGTCCTCGCGTCGCTCCTCATCGTCGCGCGCATCCACGCGTACCGCAGCGAGCTGCAGGGCGCGCTCGGCGCGGAGCACGCGCGCCCGTACACGAGCGCGAGCGCGATGTTCCTCGAGAGCGCGGCGACATACGCGATCGCGAGCATCATATTCATCGGCACGTACGCGACGAACAACTGGTTCCAGAACATCGTCGTGCCGGTGCTGGGGCAGATCACGGTGCGCACGCCTGCTGCTCATCCCGGCCCGGGCGGGGTTGCTGACGACGTGGACGTGGCAGTGCATCGCGCCGCTGCTGATCATCCTGCGCGTCGCGTACGGCCGCGCGTACACGTTCCGCACCGTCAGCACGTCCACGCGCATCGAGTGGGGCTCCGCGCCCCCCGCCTCCTCGCAGTCCGAGGCGGCGTCCGCGCGCGCGTTCCCCGCGGCGGGCAGGCGCTCGGCGAAGGAGAAGGAGGTGGCGTTCGAGACGCCGAGCACGGTGTCGGAGTACCGGCTGTGAAGCTCTGCGCCCGCCGCGCTGGCATGGTGTAGCGTATTCTCGCTGGTTGTGCACCAGGCTGCGGAGAGCTGTTTACGGTGCTGGTGATACCCTGTTCCAAGCCACGGGCTGTATGTACGAAGTGTTCAGAATGTAGATGACCGGGAGGTCTGCCAGTGCTCATGATCAGAGGACATTGTATTTCTAGCCAGCCTGAAGGCGTATAAAAACGTACTTACCGCTACCAGTTGTATTGTCAATGTAAGGGTTCGACATAGTAAATTATGACTTCACCGCACACGCGACCCGCCACTTAACCTCTTGACTCTGACCGTCATTGCCATGCCGTCCATCGATATATCCAAGTTGGCAGCTTTACATCCCCGCGCCAGTGGCTGATAATATCGCTGATTCGTAAAGGCACTCGATTACCGCAGACGATGCCAGTGTCTGTGAGAATCGAAGCCTGTACGAGCCAGCGACATCATGATGATAGCCAAGAGTACTAGTAACCCAGCGCACATTGCCCGCCAGTCCACGACGGCACCAAGGTGCACCTTACAGGACCTGGATCATCGTCGATAGCCGCAGTGGAAGCGATTGAACCAGAAACACATGTGCATGGACGTCAAAGTGCCAGTAACGGCCGAGGTCTACCAGCTGGACCTTGCACGACGGGATCCTACTATCAAACTCTGGATATATCGCATTGCCTTGGTATGCCTATGTTTACGACTAGTCTGGCACGAAACTGCCGTACTCCAAACCGCCATACACCACTGGCAAGACCGCACCAGCGTTGAGCCTCAGAAAGCAAAACCAGGCGTATGCAGAGCGCCTCTGCCCCCTCTACTGAAAGACCACCCCCCGAAGTCCGACGCGCCAGAGCTATCCCTCGCCTCCGCGCTCGTCGACGCGTCCCTGCGAGACGCATTGTCGGAACTAGCGATCGACAGCCTGGTCGTCGCGGTGGTCACCGCTGAAGGCAGCGTCTTCGAGGGCACTTACGGTGTTCTCAGAGGGAACGAGAGCGATGCTGAACGCAGGGGACACGTGGACAGGGACTCCATATACCGCATGGCATCCATCAGCAAGATGTTCACCACCATCGAGACCTTTATATTGCGGGACAAAGGTCTCCTCAACTTGTCAGTCAACCCATCTTCAAGTTCTTCTCTACACATGGTGCTCATATCCCGATTCATAGAGATGACCCGGTCGACACGTTCCTCCCCAACTTCACCTACCGCCACACCGACGCCACCCACGAAGGCCCCGTCACGATACGGACACTACTAACCCACGCGGCCGGGATCGGCGGGAACCTGCCCCCAGGCAACATGTCCGACTGGCCGCACTCCCTCGACGGCGCGAACACGCCCCCGTACAACGGCAGGCCGTTCCCCACGCCCGAGCGGGTGCTGGAGGCGCAGGCGGAGCTTTCCCTCAGCACGCCGCCGCACGGGCTGCCGCTCTACTCAAATGCGGGGTTCTCTATCCTGGGCATGGTGAATCTGGCAGCTGCAAGAAGGAGCGACGAGTACAGGGATCGTGTCTCGACAATTGAAGAGCTGATAGAGCGGGATGTGTTCGAGCCGCTTGGGATGAATAGCAGTGGGTACCTCGCCGCGGATCTCGGCGCCGAGAGGGTCGCTGTATCATCGTATGCTTCGGAAGACGCAGTGCGTAAGCCCATGAGCATGAGAGGACTCTGCTGATGGATTCCGCATAGGATTACGACTTCCAAACCGCTATGAACCCGACTGGAGGGCAGTTCTCGACCCTGGCAGACCTCATCGCCCCGATGCGGATGTTTCTGAACCCGGAAAAGAACCCGAGCGTCCTATCGCCGTACACCATCCGCGAATGGATGAAGCCTCAGTTCTCGTGGTTCGACGATACCACAGAGCTCGGGATGCTATGGGAGATCAATAAGTACCAGAACTCGTTCAAGGACGTGCAGAGACTGTATCAGAAGTGTAAGTAACACCTTCCGTCATTCATTCAAAGCGAGTTCTGAAGTCAAGGATGTCCACTCACAGCTGGGCAGCTGATGGCGTACCACGCCGAGTTCACCGTCAACCCAGCGTCCGGGTATGGCGTCATCGTCCTCATGGCCGGGCAGTACCTGAACGCGCAGAGCATCACGTTCCACATCCTGGACGCGTTCCAGCCGGCGTTCGACGTCCTCATCGACCAAGCGACGAGGGAGCTTTATACCGGTAGCTGGACCGACGGGGAGGCCAATCACGTCGAGGTGTCGTCCAGGGACGGCAGTCTCTGGGTGGACCGGATGGTCTTGAGCGGGGAAGACGTGTTGAAGCTCGTCCAGGGGACAGATGAGGCAGAGCCGGTTGGTCTTTGGTCGACCGGGAGGAGTGATCAGTTCAGGTGAGTCGCTTGCGCCTTCTCCAGCATTGAATGGAGGGGTGTGACCCTTTCGGCCCGCCCAGAGTCTCCTATGGGTAAGCTTGAGTGTTCGATATCATCCTATGCGTTTCAATTGTAGCACTGTGATATTGACTAATTTAACAGACTCGCATTCGGGGAGTCGTGGCGGAACGACGAACGTGGCTACCACTGCCTCGCATACTTTTTCGGGATGGAACTTGGATATGCGCGGGGAGCGGCGATAAATGAGATATCGTTTGCTGGAGAGGGCGGGGCGAGAACGTTGTACGTGCCGTCGGTGGACGTCAAGCTGCGCCGTGCTGCATAGCTAAGACGACAAGGTGGCTTTGGGTTTGGGAGATTGATGGAAACCTGTGCTCGTGGCAGGGTGGGGGCAGAGCGCTGTGTATCTATCAATGTGTCTTGATTTAGGCACGTCTTGGTTAAGCACACACATCAGGGTATTCCGTGACTTGACTGTTTTGTCGAGCTACGATCTGTTTCTTGTTGAAGTCTAAGGCAATACATGGCTGTGAACCTCGAGACGCGGAGATGCAACGAGAGGTATCCCCTTACCTTCTCTTCCTGAATCACGCCTTCTGCGATGCCACATACTCATCGTAATTACCGCCTATCCACTCATACAACTGTCCCCAGTCCTTACATTCGCGTTCCCTAACCCACTCTACGTCCGTCCAGTCCCCCGTGTCGCTCGCAGGTTCCAGCTGCAAATCCGCTCTACACAATATCATCAAGCGTAGGTAAGTCAAGCAATGAGTGGTATGACGCCCGATGTTCTCGCTCGTGAGCGCGCCGCGGATCATCTGGAGACAGTGCATCTGGTGGAACGTCGACAGGCCGAAGCGGCGTTTGTCTGGGCCGAGGTAGATGAAGCCCTCGCCGCGGGGGAAGGAGGATTCCCACTCTTCGTCGGCGTCGGAGCCGTTTATGCCGTAGTGGACTGTATCTTGCATTGTCCATCGAGCAGGACCTAGGTCGAGCGGGAGGTACTCTGGGAAGTCATCGTCTACATAGGCTTTAGAACGTGAAATTAAGCTGATGAAGGTCAGGATAGATTATGAAACGTACTCACTCCACTCGTGCTTTGATAATTGCGATCGTATGTTGCTGCTTAGCCTGAGCACCTGAAGGAAAGACAGAACGCCAAGGACGAAGATGATTGCCCAGGTGAGGAGGGACAAAACAGTCCTCTGCGTCCACGTTGACAGGCCATGACTCTCCCTGAAGCGGTGTACGGCGGTTGGCATGGTCGAAAGTGAAGTCAGAGACACTCGAAGGAAACTGGACGAGTTGCCGTCTTATGTGTATGCCTCGTAAACCCCCAAATAACCTGAGACGCGATGTCACCTTGAGTACGCCCAAACAGCGATGCGCTGATCCACCTCAGTGATCCCTGATGCGTGATGAGGCGCACTCCCGCCTAGATACGTGGCTAGCCTCCTCGCGACAGTTTCACGCGTGACGTGCATCCGTTTGGATGCGCCGCAGAGCGCCATTTATCTTGTTCATCGGCGGGCAGTGAGAATGACTGTGTCGCAACATAGACATGGTTGTTGGACTACCGTGACGTCGCGATACCAGCCTCAGACGGTTGCCGTTTCGTCGGGGTTGGATAGTGGCTTTGACGGGATTGCGGTTGTGCATTCAGCCATGCACGCATCATACTTGACGCGTACAGATGGTATGATTGATAGGATTCCACTTAGCACCTGCCCGCGGTGGATCACTGCGACGACGGTGAGCGTAGCAATTAGTCTGGTTGTAGTGCCTGCGTACTCACCATGATGATATATGACTGGCATCATCGCATTAGAGCCCCTGCCCCGGACGGTTTGCGGACAGGCTGTTACAGATGACTCCTGCCTGGCTGCCCCGGTGAATAAACGAAGCCGGATATGAAACGCTAGTGAGGCCCGAGGATATAGAGGCGATTGCGGCTCTCTGTCATTGTTCAAGCAAATGAACTGCACCCAGAGGCTGCATACCTATCCCCCGCGCATTCTATACGCGCTCACCCTTTCGGTTCTCTTGGCTTGCACTCTAGCAAATGTCTTCATAAGCCGGGTCTGGGTTCGAACTACTGAACCTAAGAAAACCTACAGTAAGCGTCTGCGATACTCTGAGTTTTGAGTGAAGCCCGAAGCTGACTCCGTTTGTAGCATACTTGCAAGATGACTTCCCGGAGTCCTTCCCTATCGGCGCTCTTCCGCAAGCAAGCATCTTCGTAGCAAACACGGTCCACTACCAAATCAACACCACCGACGCTCCCGACGAATGGGCATCGCTCTTCCCCAGAGGCGGCGGGTACGTCCACCTGGGAGAAGAGCAAAGACCATTCCTGCTCTCGATGTACCACCAATTATACTGCCTGCGACATCTGAAAGATACGATCGCCACGCCTTCCGAGCAGAAGACGGGATCCCAGCTAGGTCGGGCTCAGCATTGCTTGAATTATATCAGGCAAGCAATATTGTGCGAGCCCAGCTTGAGGTTGGAGCCGGAGAGCGAGAGGATTAGGGACGCCGGGTTGCCGGCTGGGATAGACGGACTTGAGTTGGTGCATAGCCAGTGCAGAGATTGGACGGTGGCCTTCAAGGCGGTAGAGGAAAACCGCGCAAGATCACGGCAGGGAACGAAGAGAGATGTTGTACGAGGTGTTGTAAAAAAAGAACTTTATGAATAGAGAATCAAGAAACCGTCCTTGACTGTACATGTTCTAACGCAGACCCGTCAGTCGCTAATGTTAATGGACGTACAGGGAGTTAAATGTGTCACCTAGACCATACAAGCCGTCTTTGTACTCTTCATAATTCCACAAGACAGCACACCCTTCATATTTGCGAAACTCACTTATCGATGATGCTGGCTACGACCGCCCTCCAGGACGTGCTTGACAACAGTTCAGTCTAATCAACGTTACTGAGTATTGCTCAACGTCCATGCGAGCAATGAAGCACGGAAGGTCGAGATTGAGGCTTGTGATGCCCTGATACCTATGTAGCCAAACAAAAGTCAATTTAATGTGAGTACTGACAACAGTTGAACGTTGCTAGAAGAGAAACGGCACCTGGATGGGAGCCTCCAACAACAAATAAGCCACAACACCGGCCTAGGCTTGATACTGCACCTCCTAAATATTGTAAGACTTAGTAGACGAGCAACTGTCTTAAATGGACACCGGCCATGGCAGGCGCCACAACTCTTCGGTGTTCTAAGCCTTCTGCACGACCTCCGTCTTCTCCTGCTGAGCCGGCGCAACAATTGGACTTGTCGATCTGGAGGTGGTACTTCAAAGATGAGCGCTACCTTGCGGTCGGGAAGTCGTGTTACCCGGCCAGGACAGCATCTACAAGCTGGGTGATTTTCCCCGAATACCTTTACTCCGATCCTTGCCTTGTACGCGGGATTGCTCTGGGGAATGGAACTGTACCTGTGCGTATAGCGCATATATCGGGGAATATAGCAAGCTCTATCAGTACCATACTTCGTACTTTCTGGGCGCAATAGAGAAGATGAGCATGGTGCAGGCACCCCCGCTCAAGCATAGTACATGCGCTGCCCTCCCCTCGTAGTTCGTCGCGCGTGATTCTTCCCTTCAGTTATGAAATGATGCCCACTAACGTCGTCAGTCCAGCATACTGCTCATGCGGTCGTACCTGATCAGACCGTCGTGCTATAGAGTAACGCTTCACGCAATGATTCATTTTCGACTTCGCTACCGATCGCTCGTCGTTGGAGGCTCTACGTAGCGCGTGCTTCAGAGCACTTTGATCGTCACATCGTCCGAATACGGGTCACTATTCCAGCCTGAATAGATCAGCAGCATACAGTATACTTTTGAGATGGCATCGGCACGTATTTCCAGGCGGCTTAGAGCCCACTGGGCACAAAAAAAGCTGCGCATTTGGGGGGAAAATGCTGATTAACCTGTACGAGTTTTTTCCGTTGACAATTGCAAGCTGATTTTGAAGAGCACAGACCGCCGCAACGCTTTACCCTCCGCAGCCACAAGACAAATACAGCCAAAGTATATGATCCTTCCTAATCCGGCCAACCTTGCCGATGGTTTGACAGCTCCGGCTATTCTGCGGTTCCTTTCCCCGTGTCGACGCCGCGGGCCGGCGAAGATGAGATCCTCTCGACCAGATTCCAGATTTTCAAGGTATTTTGGCGTTTGAGCTGTCAAGAGGCCTGGACCCGCACGCCTCTCAGAAACGCACCCCGCCTCTGAGGTGGAGTTCCCCCTTGGCTCGGCCTACAACATTTTGCGTCACCGCCCTCGAAACTAGAGACGGAAAGCCACCCTGCAGACCCGGCCCCGGGCAATTAAGCAGCCCCAGGAATTTTTGCGACAACGAGCGTATTTTCTCTGCCATGCTCTGGACCGTACCCTGCGCCATCGCGACGTTTGGGGTGCGCGAGCGGGCGGAGAGCGAGAGGTATATAAACCGGGAGGACTTGGGCCAGGAAACGCCGTCGCACTGCTGCAACCCGTAGTCGCGCCTTCCTCGTCCTCCCCACGACAAGAACCCGGCCTCTCTGCCAGTCCACTTTTACTGTCTTTTCAGTACAGTCAGTCTTTACTGCATCGCAAGATGATGGCCCGCTTCTCGTCGTACTTCGCCGCCGCTCTGCTGGCGTTCGCCTCGCTGCTCTCGATGGTGGCTGCTGTCCCCGTCGAGGCTGAGCACCTTGAGGCGCGCAGCAAGACTTACCAGGGCCGGGTGAGTCCCAATGCGTCTTATTGCTTGCGCTGTACTGACCGTGATGACTTGCTGTAGGGAACCTGGTTCAACGTCGGCCTCGGTAACTGCGGCAAGGAGAACGTGGACTCCGACTTGATCGTCGCGCTTGACACCGCGACCTACGCCTCGGGCAAGCACTGTGATAAGGTCGGTTACGGTCTCGTTACTTGTACCTACTTCCACGCTGACAGGAGCCGCTAGTACATCACCATCGTCGACACCAAGAACGGCAAGAAGGCCAAGGCGATGGTCCGCGACTCGTGCCCTAGCTGCGGGGTCGGGAGCATCGGTAAGTCATATGCGCCGCTCCCCGCCTTCGACCTCACCTAACCTACGCTATCTACCCCAGACATGTCTCCCGCCCTGTTCAAGCACTTCGACTCGCTCGACACCGGTGTCATCTCCGTCAAGTGGTGGTTCAACTGATCACTGCCCACTACCCTGACTTGAGAGATCCGGGACCGTCTGGGCTATGCGGGGTCGTAGCCTGCTGGCGCGGTCTCGCTCTCACAACTGTATCGTTATCAAAATGCCTTGCTGCGCCCCTCGAGGTGGCGCCCACCGCTAGAGGAGGCGTATAGAGCCTACGCGGTGTCGTGTAGCTTAGATAGATGTGTTTTGTATCGCTAGAGGCAGCAACGTTGTAGCAATGCGAACTCGTGGTTCCTACTATGAAAGAAGCGTCCGCAGGGCGCATAAGGTCTTGCGACCCCGACTAGCATTCACCCACGTCTCTGTCTGATCACTTGTCCCTAAGTCTGCAATAAAAGTGTATGCCTCCCTAAATAAATGTCGTGGATGGATTCGTCTACGATACTGCACTTCCGGAATGTGCAGGTGAAGAGTGAGCTGGAGACGAGGGTCGGGAAAGCCAAAGTCAGACGGTTTACAATCCGTAATTACTCGTGGTTGAATCAATCTGGAGGTCAGCGAACGGAATAAATTTGTTGATGTACATATCGTGAACGAACGTGACATGAGACTGAACACAGTACTAGTGTTGCATGCGGCATATGAGCGCGGACAAGAAGCACCGACAATCTGGAGCGAAACAACTTCTGAGAGCGATTCATTCAGTACAAACTGGTGAGTGAAGCAAACGAGATACAATTCACATACTGAGCAGACCACTACCACGCATCTACTACTCGGATTCAGAAGCACCATTATCCTCGACACTCGGGGGGAGGACTTGAACGACCTTTATTAGCTTCGTTCCCCATCTTCCAACTGGAAACTCTTTCATGTCCGTCCGCCAGGCCTGTCCACCAAGGTCATTGTCCCACCACCTCCGACGAGACAGCCCTCCCATCCAGAATGGAGCCTCCTGTGTGATATACGAAAGGTCCATGTACGTTGTGGTCAGAATGAGCTTTATGAAGCCAACATCGTGATCCTGGCCGAAGGGAATGGTGTAGGACCTAGGGGACCCTGTCTCCCCGCCCTGGAGGCAATTGAGCGACTGACCAGCAAGAAGCGATGGCTGGTCGGAGGTACGAGGCAAATAGTATGGCCCTGGAACAGAGCGTATAACAGCCTGACTTCTCATCCGAAATATGTCACTTACTAAAGCCCAAGTCACTATCAAACCAAAGTATATAGAGATAGAGATCTAGACCCGACTCGTTGGTAATTGTCATGCCATAGAACCTCATCGGGTCCCCGAAGTTGCCTCTACCGACGACCTCAACAGTGTCTTGGCAGAGGAGGTTCGTCCTCGAAAGCGAGCGAGGAGCCTCGTCAGAGGTCTTCCCTTGGTTTTCGTACAACTTGAAGTCGGTATCCCAATCGAAGACTTCAACGAATTTGAGCGTGACTTCGACCTCGTCAGATAAGAGGTTGGAGCGGGGCTTCTGATCCATGTACCATCGCCAACGAGCCGCAGCCAACAAGGCCAGCGCCAACCCGGAATTTGGAATAGGAGGTAAACGAGAGATTTGATGCTCCTCATAATCTGGGTGCAGGTTCTCCAAGAGAAGTGCTTCAGGCAAATACGGATCCGTGGTGATCGAGAAGTGCACCGCTCCTGGTGTACGAGGACCCACCAAGGATCTGAACACAACACTCATATGTTTGATCGGTCCAATGCTGGCGTGACCCAGAATGCACATGGCAAGGGTCATGAGAAGGCTGACATCCTCGCCAAGGACGAGTAATCGGAAGGAGTCCGTTTCTATCAAGTCCTGGTTGGTCGTCGAGTTCAAGATTAACCGGACGAATAGGGGAAACAACTCGTTGTCCTTATTGGGTGCTTCAAGGAGTTTGCGCCGGTCTTCAGCTAGTGAAACGTCGTCACTACTATGCCATTACCGAAAGTAGATGACATGCTTACCGGATGACAGTACTGACTGGAGTTTCTGTGGCTCGTTCAGAAGGTCCAGCACGAGATCGTCAAAGTCTTCTTCCAGAGCTAGGTTGTACTTGAGGAGCTCCGATTTAATAGCTTCCGACTGTGCCCTCTCTTCCAGGACCGGGCGAAGCCACTTCACCGGCACAAATGGGACCGCAGATAAAGGTAGATGGGCTCGTGACACATAATCCATCGTACACGTTGTAAACACCGATTTATGGATCATTTGACCATCTACAATTTGGCGGCCATTTCCGTGGTTGGGCCTGTTCCATACCACCGGCATGAGTCACCTCACGACTGATGAACGGAGAAATAATACACACCACCATGTCATATCACTAGTGTCCTTGTATGAACGGCGTCTGAGGGGCAAAAATTCTACTATTCTCCAGGCCGCGGTGAGCGAATCAGGAGTCTTGTAAAGTCCTGTAGTCCACCATTTTTCCAGGAACGGTTTCAACCGGACACCTGCCTGGGTCGCTTCATATGACATCCATCGAAACGGAGGACCACTATGGTTCAACTTAATATTATTAATGTTACCCCCTCCACTGTAATGGGCAGTGTGAGCTCAGAGAATGCGAAATATCAGGCACCTCACATATCAGAATGAGTACCGGCAAACCAAACTTCCTTTACACGTGGGACCGGACGCTTACGAGAGCCCGTTTTCGCTGTTATTGGAGAAGGTTCTTTGCCGGGCCCATAGTGACGTCCGCCGTGGACATACTCAGGTTGGAATTTCACCCGACGTTCATCCAGTGCAAGTGCATGGCGGAAACGACAAACATGATTCATCCCGCAGGCAGTGAATGGGGCATCTTTACCCCTGAATAACCCTACAGAAGATACCGTGTCCCTATGCCGTCAATGTGTTCAGAAGGGGTTTTTGCATTCATATTGAAGCAAATTATTTACCAGGCACCTATGAAATGTACCTTGACGTTCCGGCTAAAAGTTTCCTTGAAACGTCCTACTGATTCTTCTGCAGTTGGAAGGGTGGAGGTTGGGTCCTGATCCGTCTTGGTCCTGTCTGTAGGGGCCGACGATGGGCTCGGTCCCATGTTTGATGTGTCCGCAGGGGAACAGGATGGGCCCTGACCCGTCTCGATTCTATCCCTAGGGACAGAGGACGGACCCTGGTTCGCGCCGAATCTGTGTTTAGGGACAGAGAGTGTGTCCGGGACCGTGCCGGATCTGACCTTAGGGGCAGAGGATGGATCCGCGGCCATTTTTGATCTGGTCTTAGTCTCCGAGTGTAGTTCTGATTCATCAATACTTATGTAAAGTTCATATGCACTGCGATACGATTATCAGGGGAGAGGGTAATTCGAATGGGTGATGCTGAACATACAAGGGAATCTGAGCCTGGTTGCCCTTGTGAATGAGGCCAATCTATGCTCAAGTAGTGTGGGCTTAGTAGACTGATGGTACATTGGCATTTGAACCGGACCTTATCTATCATGGCCGACAGGGCGCGCACTTGATAAGCCCCTCGAGAAAATCCTGTGCGAGAAGCAAAAATAGCACCTGAGAAAGGATGAAGATAGTTGGGCAATACTAACCAAATAGATATATGCGGTCACCCTCTTCATACTGTTCGGAGAGCCACTGGTAGGCTCCTAAGATAATCTTCTCGAACCTCCTGCCAATACAATTAACACATGGGTTAAATGCTGCAATAACTGTGAAACATCAAGTCGATGTGAGCACCTACCAAGCAATAGCAAGGTCAATCTTGTGACCAATGACTTGCTTCCACCAAGACCACGACTTGAACGAGGGCCTGGCATATGTCCCAATTCCACTGTTATAGTAAGTGAGCTGATTCTTATCTTTGACTAGGAAGCTATATAGCTGAACGACATTTGTATTCTTCCCCATATTTCAGATTGGGGAATGGTTGCCTGCACTCAATGTACTCGCCTTATCATTGTATTTATTTGCTGTACCGTCGATGCAGACCACTAAATTTCGGCCATTTTTCAGACATCCGCATTCCATCTCATCCTGTGATCTCGGATCCTGTGATTTCGAACCTAGGGATTTCTGACCCAACGGCTTCTCACTGTAGTCATCTACACGGAGTCCAGCGGGACCTGTCATGAGTAGCGCAGTTTACAGGAAAGATGGGGATCGGAGGAGGGGATAATGAGAGATCAGCAGGCTAACGATCGCCAGGGATAGGTGAGAAAGGAGGTCTTTATATGCTAGGCCGGTAGTTAAACTTGATATGGACTTACAAAGTCATGCAAATACCAGCAGACAGCTGACAGCTGTATTTCAATTGATGCGCGTCTAGTGAACGCCTGAACATCGAGAACGATTCCTGGCAAGGAAGAGAACCCCATGAGCCATACAACAAGTGACAGCAAGTCAAGCTAGTTCCGGTGGGCGTAGACTCGGAGTCAGGGGTACCTCCCATGAGGACACAATAACGAAGCTGACCTCTGACGACTGAGGCACATGTACAGACGATGACTCTTCTTAGCTCGTCCGGTAGAGTCAGCCTCGAGGCTGCCCTGTTACTTTACAAGGCGATATGATCTTGGTAAGCCAGCCTCCCTCTATTCGGAGATGAAGGGAGCACGACTCGAGATGATGCGTCCCCCCTTAACCCATACTTATCGTAGCCCATAACTCCTTATAACCCATAGCATACCCTCCAAGAGGGTCCATAACCCATAATATGAGCTTTTTTAGCCCGATTAGGCAATTATAAGAGTACATTTACAATAAGTGATTTGATTTTGTCGAGAAACTCAGTCAATCCGACAGAAAACGGTGCCCATATGGCGATATGTACCCATTTGCAGTGCGATGGATGGTACGGAACATGCCGGGATGACCATCCGCAGGCTCCCCGTCTCACGCTCCCAGCCATTGTCACAGTATGTCACACTGGCATCCACCAATTGACATAACAAGAGTTATACATATTACTTGGCGTGTTCATATCGGCCTCATACCAGAGGAAAGAAAACCCCAGAAGGACCCGAGCATCTACTATGTTCCTGAGTTGCCTTAAGTCGACCATGCCATGCACGGGAGACAGTACGAGAATATACCTTGCATGGGAAGATAGCAAGCGTCGAAGGTGATAAATTGGTAGGGAACCCCCAGCACCAGCGCTTACGTCGGTAGCTTGGAGAAACTAGTGTCAGCTTACTGCAGCGCCTTTACAGGAAATGGGCAGACTCATGACTTGCAGGACCATCGGTGAGTGTCTCGCTAAGAGTCCCCGGTCTCCTCCTTCCACATTGTCCGAGAGAACGACAAGATGAAGAAATTCAATAAAAACAGTACCATCAGGAGTAATTCAGGTATGCCCTCGGCGAATGCCTCCTTTACCTCTGTTATAGACGTCGCAACGGTATAGACGCAATCCCGGCTGCTATTCATGAAACTGTCCGGCCGACGTACTTCCTGTGCCTCAGACCTTGTTCCAATGTTATACAAGTTACAGAAGGAGTGGCAAGACAACATCTGTCTGGAGTCAAAGGCACGCACCGGTTGGCAGATCGAGTGTTGCTACGCGCTCTTAACTACGGTTGCATTTGGCTCAGGATATGCTTACATCGCGAACAGCCCATCGCCACTCCACGATGTCAAGACTTGACATCGTCGCGATGCACGCCCTCGTGCAGCACAAAGGATCCCAGAAAATCAGCAGGTGTGTTCGAGCGGTGGCACCTTCTCCCCTTTTGCGCGCTGAAGTTCTAATGAGTAAATTGCAAGAGCTGCCGTCGACTGGCTATTACCTGTAAGGACTTTGGTTGTCTTACGGCCGCAGATTAGGCAAACAGGCATCTGATGCTCGGGGAGTCTCTGCCACGGTTTGCTTGGCGGAATTCGAGCCCTTGGCCCGAGGAATGCAGTGGCCTCATCACCCATGAAGAAGCTTTACTGCGTAATGGACGCTCGGCTTGGTCGGAATCCGACCCGCATGTATAGTTTTGATGGTGAACCAGGCAGCCGAACCAGTAAGATAGGGATCAACATACTGGAGAGCAAAGCAGGAGACAATTGCGTTATTAGATCAAGCAGGAGATAGAAATGCGGGCAGCACGGTAGAGCCGTGACCGGGGCGCCTGGCCCCTCCGTCCCGGATATTCACCTTCGAGTCACGCCGAGATTCAAAGCGGAGTCGAACTCCGCCCAAATTTTTGCTCCGGTCGTAGGTTCATCGCGAATGGCGTCAAGTCATTTACTCGCTCTGTGACATGCCATGATGAGAACGACGATCCTCCTGGCCTACAGACAAGACAGGTGAGTGAGAACGCCACGATACACGTATGGATGGTGCGTACTGGTATCAGTAGTAGAAGGACGAGAACAGGGAGAACCTGAGCTCGGGGAAGCCCTCTCTTTGTCCCCGATAGCGCCCTGAGGATTTTTGTCGCGACGTACACGCGGCCTTTGTACTAGCAGGGTCGTGTTGAAACGGAATACGGTCCATTGGACACAGAAGAGGATTGTAAGGCATGCGCGATGTTCTCGGGCAGACCGAACTCCCACCACGAGCGTGACCGTAAGCTATAAAGCCGGCTTTTCGAGCACGATCAGATAATCGGAGCACAAGAAAGTAGCCCGAGGAATAGTTGCGATGACGAGCGGACTTTTTTTAGCATGCTCCTGACCACACCCTTTCCCAACGCGCAGTTTCGCGGAAGCGCTGAGCACCATGAGGAGCACAACCAGACTTGCCAGGCCCGGTGAGTTCGAGTCAACGCGTCGCCCTTCGTGCAGTGGGCTGAGGGCACTGGTACCTAGTTCAATGTCGGCAATGAGAAGGCAAGAGTAACGGGGACATAACGTGACGCCTCCAGCACGCACTGCGAAAAGGTCAGTATTTGCTCACCACCCGTACACCTTACTCGGTTGACATCGAACCGTCAGTACATCCTCATCGTCGACACCAAGAACGGCAAACAAGCCAAGGCAATGATCCACCGCTCCTCGCTGTGGGGGGAGACATCGCTAAGTCGTCCGACCTTCGACCTCCACGCCAGACACGTCCCCTGCCCTGTTCAAGCACTTCGACTCGATTGACAGCGCTTCTATACCACCACGTTGAGTTGAGACTCCGGGACCGTCTGGGCTATGCGGGGTCGTCGCCTGCCGGCGCGGTCCCACAACTGTATCGTTGTTAAAATGCTCACTGTGCCCCTGGAGATGGCACCCATCACTACAGGAGGCGTATAGAGCCTTCGAGGTGCCGTGGAGCTTCGATAGACGCTGTATTTTGTATCGCTAGAGGCACCAGCGTCGTAGCAATGCGAACTTCAAGTTGTGAATCTCGTGCAGATCACCTGCGGGAGCTGGAGCATGAGGGTCTTCAAGCAACGACTGTCAGTCCTGTTCAGCCTCGTTCGGCTCGCTTACTTAGCGTTTCCGAGGTAAGTAGTCGGCACTGCCGTACTGCAATGCAGAAAACCTTCTCTTTTCCTGATCGTGCAGATACCACTGACGACGATGAGTTGAGGAAGTTGATGGAAAGCGATATACCCGGATACAGTACGGATTTGAGGTAGTGGCTGAACTTGAAGCTAGAGCCTATGTAGCTGAGGCTAGAATACGCGATACCAATAGTCATAAGTCTGGCTCCACATGCATTTCAACTCGATACCGTCCTACTAGCAGGAGTCCTAGCGATACTACAACTTTGTTGCTACCCCTTGGCACCGTCATCAGCGTATGCTACTTCGCAACGTTATCCTTAGCCCTGTGCTGAATGACCTTTATAAGCTTTGTTCCCCATTCCCCATTCTGCAACTCTCCCGTGTCTGTGGGGAATGCATTACCGAGACCGACCCACTGCTGGTCACGAATCCGCCTGGATATCTCCGAAGGAGGCAACTGTATGAAATGCGACAGGTCCACGAACGTTCTCGTCACAATGATCTTCAGAAAGCTAACATCATAGGTCTCGCCAGGAGGTAGGATAAAAAACGCAGGGGGACCAGTCCCCCCGCCCTGCTGCAGCCTGAGCGACTGGCCGGGAAGAAGAGGTGGCGTATTGAACGAAAGGGGCTTGGTACCGTATGGTCCTGAAACAAACCATATTGGAAATCAACCGGGGATGCCACATGAAATGTGTCACTCACCAAATGACAGATCGCTATTGAACATATATGTATAGGGGTAGAGCTCTATCTCTGACTCGTTTGTGATTGTTATGCCATAGTACTTCAAGTTGCTACGATCCCCGAAGCCGGCACCACCGGTGACCTTGACGACGTCGTCCTCGACCAGGTTACTACCTAGCCGTCTTGGAGGCGGGCGGCGATCTCCTTCCGATACCTCCTCCGAGTTTTGGTCCGAGTATGGGTCATAGTCGAATATTTCATTGAATTCCACCGAGATCTTGACTGTGTCACATAGAAGATCGGTCCGGGGCGACTGGTCCATGTACCATCGCCAACGAGCGGCAGCCGACAAGAGGAGCGGCAACGCGAAAGGTGGAAAAGCAGGAAAATAGGACAGTTTCACGAAGTCCGGGTGTAGGTTGTGGAGACGAAGCTTTTCAGACCCATCCATGCGAAGGGAAAAGTGTGCCGTACCCGGAGTAAGCTCGGGGTCTTGCTCAGACCGAGTTATAACAATCATGTTCTTGTTCGGCCCGAACCTGGAATGACCTAGGAAGTACTGAGCCAGGTATATGAAGAGGTTGACCTCCACGCCAAGGACAAGTAATCGCAAGGGTCCCGGTCCTCCGACGACTGGATTGAGTTCTGACTTGATCAAGTCGAGAAACAAAGGAATCAGGCTTCCGGCGGCGTTCTTTGCTTCGACCAGTTTACGTCGATACTCAGCTATGGACAATTATTTTCACCACCATCGCTAGGAGTTAGCGTGAAGCTTACCAGATGATAGCTTTGATTTCAGGTCCTGTGGACGGCTCAGAAGATCCAGCACGAGATCGTCGAAGTCATCTTCTAGAGAAAGCTGGCACATTTCTAGTTTCCCTTTCACAGCTTCTAGAGGCGTACGCTCTTCCGCATCGTTATGAAGTCCCTTCAATGGGCCGATAGTAGGTGCACCAGTAGACATGGGTAAATGTGCCCGTGAAACGTAGCTCTCAGTATGCGCCGAAAAGACCGACTTGTGGATCATTTGGCCAGGTACAACTCGGCGCCCATTTCCGCGGTTGGGCCTGTTCGTATCAATATCAATCAAACCAACGATGAGTGGAGGCACGACACGCACCACCATGTCATGTCACTGGTGTCCTTATATGAACGCCGCTTAATAGGCAAGTATTCTAATAGTTTCCAGCCCGTTGTAAGGGACTCATGGACCTCTTTCAGTTCCTTCGTTGGCCATTTTCCGTTGTATGGCTTCAACCGGATACCTGCTTGGATCGCTTCATACGACATCCATCGAAATGGAGGACCGCTATGGCTCATCATGATCTCATCGTTTCGTACACTACCTCCTCCGCTTCAATGAACAATGTCAGCCTGAATGGCGTACAGCTTGTGAAGCAGTATGCATCTCACATATCAGAATGAGTGCCGGCGAACCAAACTTCCTTGGTATGTGGTACTCGATTCTTATGGGATTCCGTTTCGGCTGGCTCTGTGAGAGGTTCTTGTACTTGGACACGGTGAACTCCACCGTAGGCATACTCAGGCTGGAATTTGACCCGACGCTCATCGAGCGCAAGTGCATGGCGGAAATGACACACATGCTTCATCCCACAGGCGGTGAATGGGGCATCCTTTCCCCTGAAAAAGCCAACAGAAGATACCGTGTCCCTGGGATACCATCGTTTGGTTAGGGATATCTACATACAAGCGAAATTGATTAATTACCAGGCGCCCACAAAATGTACCCTGACATCCCTACTAAATGTCTCCTTGAAATGTCGGTCCATAGGCACGGAGGAGGGGTCCGGGTCCCGATTCGATTCATCAATGCTTGCATAAAGTTCATACGCGCTGCCATCAAGGCATCAGCAAAATTCGTGATTACCATGGCTGACGCTGAACATACAACGGTATCTGCGCCTGATTTCCCTTGTGGATGAGGCCGACCTACGGAGTGAAGGCTAAGTTATCTGACGATTCATTCACGTTTATGGGATGACCTTATCTATCATGGCCGACAGAGCGCGCACTTGATATGCCCCTCGGGAGAATCCTAGGTAGGACGAAGAATGGCACTTCAGACAAGAAAAAAGCCATCTGGCAGCACTGACCGAATAAATATATGCGATCACCAGCTTGATACTGCTCAGAGAGCCACTGGTACGCGCCTATGATAATTCTCTCGAACCTCCTGCCGCCACGATGTGGTGCGTGGTTCGTGTCTTGTAAGAATAGTGCAGAACTCGAGCGATGCAAGAGCCCACCAGGCGATGGCAAGATCAATCTTGTGACCAACTACTTGCTTCCACCAGCTCCATGACTTGAACGACGGCGTAGCGTATGTCCCAATGCCGCTGTTGTAGTAAGTGAGCTGATACTTGTCTTTGACTAAGAAGCTATATAGCTGGACGACATTCGTATTCTTACATAGATTTCAGACCTAGGAATCGTTGCCTGCAGTCAACGTACTCACCTTGGTATCGAATTTGTTAGCTGTGCCGTCGATACATACCACGAGGTTTCTGACATTTCGCCGACACCCGCATTCGAGTTTATCTTATGATTTCTGAGTAAACTAAATTGCAGGTACCAATGGGACCCACCCGTCATCGCTATAGCGGTCTTCTGAGAATTGGGGATAATGAGAACGCTGGTGGTCGCCGGTGCGAGGCGAGAATGCTTGCTCCTTTATGTATACAGCCAGTGGTCGCACTCTCCTGTCAACCAAAGCAACCATGCGGACTACGCAGGGCAGGCACGATATGTACTACTTGTAGGCGTTCTGACAGCGTTATGTTTTGATTTGTTCCCATCGAGCGAGCATCCGAACTTCGAGGACGATCGCACGTAATCCCGCGCCAGAATTTTCCGACCATCAAGGGACACGCGAGAGACAGCAAGCCAAGGTGATTCCAACGCGCTTAGTCTAACGCATACCAGACGCATACTGAGATAATTCGTCCAAGATTACCACATAACCAGGTCGATCTGTCTGCAGATTGTCTTGTCCTTCGCAAGGTGACTCGGCCTTTATGAGTCAGTAGCAGAACTTCCACCTTATCCGCAAAGGCAGCCGCATTCGAGAGCATCGCTTACTTTCGCCACAGCAGGTCGTTGCTGATACGTATACTCCGCCCACGAGGCGCCTTCAGCTCGCCAGTAAAATTGGCCCTTGTCGCCTTGTAAGGCTATATAACATTCCCAACGCAAGCCAGTGACAGAGCTTCCATATGCCTGGAAATGAAGTCAAGGGGAATGCAAAAGTGTATTTTGCCGTATCATTGACTCGGGCGGAAGTTGCTTGAAGTTCTAACTCCGCTCGCGCGCGAGGCGCATGTCAAAATGGCCTGCCTCAGGCCTCAATACTGCCTCACTGGGAGACGCAGGGGGGACGTCGTCAAATTGCCTCAGCAGCGGCACCAATTGACGAAGGACTACATGTGTTAGTACTCGGGGCATTCGACCATTTGCCCCTTCATATTGGCTCGTTCTCTCCTCTTTTCATTCCCGGACCGTACTATTGCATAGCGTTCTCACATATTGTAGATTCAGACAGAACTGTAAGGATGCATGGTTGTCAGCGGGAACCTGAGTATGCGCTCCTCACTCGCGCATGGAACAGCGGCCATGCCCGTATGGCAAGACAGCAGATGCCAAAGGGCATATTACACTAGCTGGAAATGCCCACGTTAGTGCTTTCGTCTGTAGCTCTTCGGTAGCATGGAGAATCGTATCAGCTTACTGAGGATCCTCAGCAGGAATGTGCTCTGGAAATCTCTTGGATCGCAGCACCAGGGACATCGGGCGAGTATAAATGTTCACCGTGTTCACCTCCGGCCTTGTTTTAGACAACGACAAGGTCAAGAAACAGAAGAAAGAATACCGTCACCCGTAAGCCAGGTATGAATGCCGCTCTCATCAACTCTGTCGAGGGTATATTTTCAAGCCGGCCAGTGCGCAATGCATGTTTAGCCAGTAAATGCGCCCGTCTCCATTATGTCAGTACACACTTTCTACGACTCGGAACGCGGTCGAATGTTAGGCAAGATCGTTCTGGTCAAGACTGGGTCTGTCTGTAGCTGAAAGCACGCACCGGCGAGGTATGTGATTGCTTGCAAGTGCACCGGGTGAGGGGGCAGACGGCGTAGACGACGAGAGGGACAATATGGGGGATATCCACATAATTTCCTGATGTTCCCCAGCTCAGGCCCTACAAACGTGGGCAACCGCCACTCGATATATTCTCTCAGGGTTTGATACCGTAACCATATGCGCTCTCGAGCAACACAGGGTATCCCAGGAAATCAGCAGGTATATGATTCGGTGTACCTTCTCCCGTTTCATTTATAACCGGCGCGCTGAAGCTCTAGTAGACTTCAAAAATACTGGTTTGAACGGGTAATCAACTATAGGACCTCGAGAACGAAACGTGATGCTCTTACGGACCCAGACTGGGTATACAGGCGTCTGATGCTCGAGGAGTTTGCTATAGCCCATTAAGCGGAGGTTGAGCCTTTGGCTCAAGGAGCAATGGCCTCATGGTCCAGGATGAAGCTTTACTGCGTAAGGGACGCTCGGCTTGGTCGGAATCCGACCCTCAGTGCACTGTTGACGGTGAAGCAGACAGCCAAGGCAGAGAGAAACGTAAGATAGGGATCTACATACTAGGCAGCAAAGCAAGCGACAATGCGTTCTTAGATTATACAGGAGACAGAGAATGCGGGCAGCACGCGAGCGCCGCGGCGCCTGGCTCCTCCGCCCCTGATATTCCGGTCACGCTGAGATTCAAAGCACAGTCCAACAACATCCCACCCATTCCTGTCGTCCCCGCCCTTCGTGGATTAGTCGTGAATGACGTCAAGTCATTTATTCGCTCTCTGAAATAAGCGCGACGATCATGCTGGTGCACGAAGGAGGACAGGTGAGCGGTCACAAAAGAACCAGAGTCCGAGTGAGTGCGTACCGGTATAGGTAGTAGAAGAACGAGAGCAGGTAGAACCCGAGCTTGATGAAGCTCTCCTTTTTGTGCCCCGATAGTGTTCGGAAGATCTCCGTCGCGTCATACATATGGTTTTTGTTCTTTATCCTTATTCATTCCATATATCAGTGTTCCGCAAATCAGACAGATCCAAGAGGCGCGAGACGTACTTGTTGACATTATAGGCTAGCAGGGGTGCGTTGAGCAGGAAGGCGGTCCATTGCCCACAGAGGAGGAAGAGAATCGTGAGGAAGGCGTGCGCGATGTTCTCGGGCAGAACGAACTACAATCACGGGCCAGGGCAAAGTCAGTTCTCTCCGTTCATCCATATAGTCCGACGAGTGCCACAGCACCTGGTTCAGCTTATTGCACAGGTCTATAGGATTGATATAGTCGCATTCCAAATCCGAGAACATAATGATCTGGGAGAATATTCGGGCGAGGTCAGGGTAACTGCCGTTTACACACCTCTGCGAGAGGTGCAAACGCAGATACTGCGACTCACGAAGAACACCATCGTAAACAACAATCCCGCCGCCATTAAAACCGAGAAAAGAAAAAGCCATCCTGCGCCGCCCATCTTATCGTTTCTCCCTGCGCTGTCGAGGTTAAATACGTTTGAACGAAGCAGAACCTGCGGACAGGAGATAGGCACGAGGACGTGGAGGGTGACGTTCGACTAAGAGTGACAGATGTCACGCACGTGAAATGTGACATTGGTTCCATCTTGGAACGGCCGTCGTCGCACGACGCGTTGTGGCCTGTCACAGTTGTGGCATTGGGCAAGTATCGACTCAGTGCTGATTTTCTGATCCGAGAAAGGCTGGAGACATTTTTATAATTCAAATTCTGTTCTCTCGTCGATCTGAAACAGCTGTAAATCCTCAAAGTTGGCATGCTGCCCCCAAGTTCATGGTTCGTCCGTACGTGGCCAGTTTATCAGCCCAACAGTAACATGACTAACCACTCTCCAGCGCCCCAGCGATGGAAGGACCATGAATTTTTTGTTCATGTTCCTCATGATGTCTGGCTGGAAGTGATGGAATACCTGCGCCCTTCGCGGGACCAATCCATCCCTGAAAGCAAGTATGATCTAGAAAACCTCAGCCTGACCTGCCGGTACTTCTGTGCCATCTCGAGACCCTTGCTCTTCGAAGATGTGAGATTCACGGGGACCACTGGTCAGGATGACGATGCGAAGGACCATGCAGGATGGTTCTCCGAGGTCAAGAAGAACAGAATGAACTCCTTGGCCTCTTTGGTCAGAAAATACCGGCTCTGTCACTGGTCGACCATCTCGAACGATACATTTGTGCTCTTGTTCGGCGACAAGCATTTTCGAGCGATTGCGCAGCTCCCTAATCTCTGGAGTCTATCCTTGGACAAGTGCAATTTACAATTCTCCAATCGCTTCGGAATGTTCCTTCACGAACAAATGAAGACCGGAATAGGGTTAAGAAATTTAAGACACCTTCACTTCAGCCGGACAACTCTCGATGCTCACATCTTTGTGTCACTTCAAGAACTTCCAGCTCTCGAATCGCTGGCGTTCGACCAATGCTCGTTCAAACGCGATTCACCTCAGGTGCACTTTTCCCTTAATCAAAAGATCGGTCTTCGTCATTTCCAAATGATATTCGGAGAACCTTCCGGCCCGTGGTATGGTTGGAATGCATCTTTCATGTCTGAGATAGCTACATTCGCCTGCCAGCGATCCCTACGAGTGTTCAAAACCGATGTCATACATCTGTCCTCGGCGCTATTCAACTCTAATTGCGAGCTTGCCATCGAAGACCTTGCAGCCGTAATTGGTTCAGCAGATGATTTGCCTATATTCTCGCAGTTCTTGGACCGGACACCGTCCATCTGTAGCCTTTCCTTCTATGTGATGCTAGATTCTGATGGGGATACGGTACTTAGACTCAAGGACGGGGCTTTGCCGAGTCTTCAGACATTGCGCTGTCTGCCCGAGCACATCTTTTCCCGCCCTGTACGCCGATACTGGACAGTCCCTGAGTACCCTGCACGGTACACCATACGGGACACGCGCAGCGTGCGTAATCTAGAGGCTATTGCATCCTCCATTGAAGAACTCGGTATCGACAGCCAACTTTATGGCAATCGGTTCCTGCCTGCTTTCCCTTCGCTCAAGTCACTCATAGTTCTTCCGGGGTCCTCACCAGTGGGTACCTTCCTTTACTGACGTTTCGTATGTTTCATACCAATTGCGCAGCTGAGTGTCACTCTCAACATACTCAAACAATCACTTTGCGAGTCCTTCCACAACAAATGTCTGGCCGATCTTCCCGCAAACCAGAACCCAGGCCTCAGCACGCGCCGAGAGCTAGCCTATAACCTGGCGGACCAGAGACGTTTGTTGGCCCTGCTCAAGTTCACCTTTCCACGCGCACTACTGCTTCAGCTTTGTGGTTACGTTGAATGGCACCGTAACGATTACACCAGCGATCACTGGAAGCCGCGCATTGTACAGAGGGAGGACGCACGGTTTGCCCTGATGCGGATGGCCTATAAGCCAGACGTGCCGGTCGTCGACTGCGATGGCGTATTTGCTGGATTATTTCGGCCTCAAGAGATGTCGAGCGCGTTGCGAGGTCTCCTTGGGTTACAAGAACCGAATGCTTGAGCAGCCGTTGGGGTGATCCACCTTTTCTATGTTGTGGCATCGGACGAAGAGAAAGTGCCTTGCTATAGGTTATCACATGTCTCGCAGTACTTAGTGAACTGTCCCTTCCCCTCTTTATATACGTACTACTCCGCAATATAAGAAATCTTTAGCTTAGACGTTCAACGTTCTGGAAATGCGGACAAGAGGAAACCGGTTCTGTCGATAGTCGTAAGGGTCACGAATGTGACGTGTGACAACAGGTGCCCGAACTTGATACTGTGCGTCAGTTAAGTACATGCAACTGCAACAGCTTGGGCATAGCAGCTGTCCTATTGACACAGAACCTTTGAGCGTAAAAGCGGCTATACGTCGTTCGAACCGTGTAACGTATTTGAGATGTTGCCCCCGAGCTTCTGGTTTGTCCGTATGCGCTCAGTCTAATAATCTCTGCTGGCTCCATGACAACCGTCTCCCCAATGACTGCAGCACCGGCTCGCTGTCGCGGCGTAGACAGTCTCCTCCAGCTCTCTCATGATATCTGGTGCGAAGTAGTGGAGAATCTGCGCCCTTCACAGGATCAGTCCTTATCCGAAAGCAAATACGACCTGGCCAACCTCAGCCTCGTATGCCGGTACTTTTGTGCTATCTCAAGACTTTCGCTCTTCGAAGAGGTCAAGTTCAGCGGGGGCTTTATTCAGCATGCTGGCGACATGAAGGACCATGCAGGATGGTTTTCCGAGGTCAACAAGTCCAAGACAGATTCTCTGGCCTCGTTAGAACTTACAGGCTTTATCATTGAGTGGAAGTATTATGCTTGTTATTTGCCGATAGGCACTTGCAAGCCATTGCTCAACTTTCGAATCTGCGGAGTTTATACCTCGGCCTGTGCGATGAGCATTTCACCAGGGGGCTCGGTGAATCTCTTTGCGCTAGAGTCCATCCCGGAGGGGGACTGACGAACTTACGGCTACTCCATTTCTCCTCGGCAACTTTCACAACTGACATATTCATGTCACTCCAAGAGTTGACTTGCCTCGAAACGCTGATCTTCGACCAATGCTCTTTCAAGAACCCCTCATTTCGACCGAAGTCCGCCCTCACACCGGAAAGGCATAGAATGGGTATTCTTCACTTCGAACTTACGTTCAAGAGAGGAGCAAGCGAGGCATCGTGGCTCTCTCGCAACCCGGCCTTTGTCGCTAATATAATTCAATTCGCCTGTCTGCTGACCCGGGTGTTCAAGACTGACGTTCGAGAGCTGTCTCATGCCTTCTTGGAGCTCGAATTTGAGCTTTCAATCGAAGAACTTGCAGTGGTAATAAGGGTGGGACATCTGCCCGCCTTTTCGAAGTTCCTGGAGCGAACACCGTCCATGGGAAAGCTGTCATTTTTCGTGGAGGACGACAGCGACGGCGTACAACAGGTGACACTCAAAGCCAGAGCTTTGCCGCGCATGCATTCATTGTGCTGCCCCCCGGGACACATACTTCCTTGTCCTGTTCGCCGATACCGAACAGACCCGCAACTTCATCGGTCATCCGCGCGAGATATGGAAAATATGCCGGATCTGGATGGATTTTTTACCTCAGTCGAGGATCTCGGTATAGACGAGGACCTGTACCGCAGCAGATTCCAGTACCGATTTCCATCCCTCAAGTCCCTCAGAAGTCTCGTAAATCCGCAGCAAAGGTGTGTTTTTCCCCTTTGTGTAAAATATGGTATGCTTTATCCCGGTCCCTTAGTATATGACGTTTGGCCTAGGCGAAGAGTTACCTTGCAAGTCCTTCCATAACGAAGGGGCCGACGTTGTTTATTTGCCTGTAGGTTCAGACGTCAAGGGGGATCGGGGGACGACATGTAACCTAGCGACCCAAAGACGTATGCTCGCTGACCCGAAGTCAACGTTTCCCCGAGCGTTGCCTTCAACTCACTGGTCTTGTCGAATGGCGTCGTGACCATTGCGACAGTGATCATTGGAGGCCGCGCATCGTATGAAGGGAAGAGGCGCGCCGTCATCTGATAAAGATGGCTTCAGAAAGGTATAAGCCCTGCGTCGTTGACTGCGATGGGGTGTTCGCTGGGCTGTTTCGGCCTCAGGAAATGACAGAGGCCTTACGAAACCTGTTTGCAGAGGGAGGACAGGAAGTTTGAGATGTGGGCTGCTACTAATCTATCCGGGTCTCAGCCGCACATCTGGTCGGGTGTAGACAGAGGATGGAGGGTAACGGCGATCTTATTAGGATTTACATTTCTGGCATTGCTGAGCAAGCTGTCCACCCTGAATCATTATCTAGACCACAAAAGCAGTGTCAGACGCTCGGCCTTGTAATTCGAGTTCATCTTGAATCTCTCCATGATTCGGCAGCACTGTGCTCTGAAGCTACCAAGGGCTGCGACAGGAAACTAGTGAGGATTCAGTTTGAAACAGGACTGATGACATCGAGCTCACCATTTGACTCACCGAAGTTCTGATTCCAAAACGGACCGCACTTGACACTGAAGTCAGCCGTTGCTCGATGTGGACATATAAGCTTCAGGCCTCCGCGCAGGTGTTGTCCAGCTCTTCTGTTCTCTGACGATGATTTCGTATCGGTGCCTCAAATTTCCCGTTCTCCTTGCCTTCCTCCTTGCTAGTTGGCGAGTGGCCGCCACGCCTTTATCTCCGCTGCTGAAGCAGCCAAGAAGTCATCCCCCGGACGGCAGCGTCGCTCCTCACTTCGTCCTGTACACAGATCGTTTCGTGCCAGCGCACACGGGTCCCCCGCCCGTATCTGAGGTTCAGGTAAGGTCTTGCAATATTCGCGTTCTTCAATATCCCTGCTTACCCCTGCATTCAGGGTTTCAACGTCGTGTGTGTATCTTTTCTTGCAGCAGATGACCGATCAATTGAACGGACAATTCTCGCTCGCCTAGAGTATTGTCCTTCCTCCTCATCGAAGGCGCCTACGACAAAGCTGCCGAATGGGCCCAGATGAGCCCGGTGGACAGATCGTCCATAAAGGCTCAGTATGCCGCAGCTGGGATCAAGCTTTTAGTCTCTGCATTCGGCAGTACGGACATACCTACGACTTCAAATGCTGACCCTGTCGCCACGGCGGATAGTATGGCAGCGTGGGTCAAGCAGTATAGTCTTGACGGTATTGACGTGGACTACGAGGTGCGTATTTACCGGATAAATAGAGGAGAAAAGCGTTATTAAAGCGGTAATTAGGACCTCAACGCGATGACGGCTGGCGATGGTAAAGCGGAGGCTTGGTTGATCGCGTTCACGAAGCAGCTCCGGGTGCACCTGCCCCAGGATCAGTATATCGTGACACATGCGCGTATGTCTCTTGCTTTTGGCACTTTGTAGCGAAGAGATCTGATGGGCGTCCACGTTTCGATAGCTCTAGCCCCATGGTAAGCGCTGAACGACTTGATGCGCGCCTGAAATGTAATCTTAAATGCCCGCTAGGTTCTCCCCAGGCCATTGGGGCGGAGGAGCATATCTGACGGTAGACAGAACCGTCGGCCACTTGATTGACTGGGTATGTGTCATCTATCGTTTCGTATGTTACGGTTGCTGATATCTTTCGGTGGACGTACCAGTACAACGTGCAGGTGAGTCAATCATTTCGGAGAGCACTCCGGGCAGGTTGATTAATAGCAAGATTCTAGTTTTACAATCGTATGTTCTCACCCGTCACCAATATCCGCACAGCTCTGACGTAGCGCTCTAGAGGGCCTCCTGGAATACGTTACGTGTCCCGGCCTGATTACGGCTTCTTCCCCTACCTGGCCAAACACTGCCGTCTTCCAGATCGCTGCCCAGAGCATTCCACTGAATAAGCTGGTCATAGGCAAGCCTGCCCTACCCGCCGTGGATGCCAGTAACGGATGGATGGATCCTCTGACGCTCTCTTCCTGTCTGAAGGAAGCGAGGCAGAATGGCTGGAGTGAGTACCTGCCTGCGGGGTCTAGCATTACAGTCGCGCTAACACCGTTCCTAGACGCGGGCGTCATGACTTGGCAGGTGGGTCTGCACAGATACAGGGTCTTCGTAAGAGTTTTGGCTTACAGACTTTCTGTAGTATCCGGAAGGAGGAGCGCCATGGATAAGCGTCGTACGGTCCCAGGCTTGGCCGGTGTAAGGTCCCTGTGACCATGGACCGCCTCCGGTGCTTCTTCTGCTTTTTGGTCCTTTCTCCTTTCTTCGTTCCCCTTGTTTCTTCGCTCTTCTTTGCTTCTGTCCCCATAATTATTCTTTCGCTCAAAGAGACTCCCCGTGGAGCTAATTATTCATCTCCTTTTGACCCGAGCCACTAATACAGGGTTGCGCGTCTCATGCCGAAGATAAAAGAGCACTAAGCAAGTGCGTTCGTCATAGATAGTGCCCTGCGCGGTACGTCGGACGACGGTCCAACGCTCTTCGTCGGTACCGACCCTCGAGTCAGTTTGAGAGAACATTGAGCACACCGGTACATACGATGCTTCCCTGGCTGACCAAGATTTTTTTGGACGGCTCCAGAACCACCTTACCTCATAGTAAGCTCTTCGAGCGGTGGCTCTTCCACGGATCAAAGATGTGCAAGTGATAATGACAGAGTTTACACACTTCTTGTTTACCATGGCGCCGGCGTTATCTCTTCTCCAGCTGTTGAGCTGCTCTTCCTGCTTGGCCGTGACCGAGGCCGAGTCAAGGTACGGGCTTGGGCAGGGTGTGATATGTCGACATCCATCCTAGGTATTATTCAGCGCCATTCAGCTCGACATCGGCCGCCAGGTTGTATCCGCACCGGTGGTCGAGGGTGGTGGCGTCCGTTCTGAGCGCCTGCCTAATCTGGTAGGATCGGTTTGCAGATCTTTCCAGCACGATCGGTGACCACGCTCGGTTGGACAGTGAGAACGACCAGTTGCAAGACCGCGGCAGTCCCTGCAGAGTCAAGACGACGGGTTCTGGCGGAGACCGTTGCCGCGTTACACATGGGATGGACCTGGTCCTTGGAGTAAAGATTTCTTCCACCTCGCGCTGGCTGCGGTATAAAGTGCGGGCTGGGGAGGGGGTGCGGCACTGATCAGTACCGCACACCCCACTCCACGTCCTCACAAGTAAACTCCCTCGAACGCTTACATATCACGATGTCTACTACCCCGCAGAAGGCTCTCATCACCGGTGTCACCAGTTACATCGGCGCACACATCGCGCAGAAGCTCCTCCAGCAGGGCTGGAGCGTCCGCGGCACGGTGCGCAATCAGGCCAAGGCCAGGTGGTTGCACGATACGTTCAAGGCGGGCAGCCGGTTTGAGACCGTCGAGGCTGTTGACATCCAGAAGAAGGATTCATTTGCCGAGGCTGTCAAGGGTGCGCAGGGTTTGATTAAGTTCTTTAGATGCAGCGGCTGACTGCTTTCTCTTAGGCGTTGACGTCGTGTTCCACGTCGCCAGCCCCTTCTTCTTTGACATCAAGGACCCATATGAGGACCTGATCCACCCCGCAGTACGTTTCTTCGTTCAGTCCTCTCTCAACCCCTTGCTTACGGTATTCCTCAGATCAACGGCACGACCGCTCTTCTTGCCGCCGTCCACGAGAATGCCCCCAGCGTCAAGCGCGTCGTCGTCACCTCCTCGTACGCGGCGAACATGAAGCCGCACCCCGAGAACCCCAACTACGTCTACACCGAGGAAGAGTGGAACGACGATGCGTTCGAGCAGGTGAAGAAGGAGGGCAAGAACGTCCCTGGTATCATCGCGTACATCGCCTCCAAGAACGAGGCCGAGCGCGCGGCATGGAGGTTTGTCGAGCAGAACAAGGTGTGTATTACCCATGTTCCGCGCCTGTCAGTACCTCAAGTAACTGATCATATTCCTCCAGCCCAAGTTCGAACTCGCCGTGATCAACCCCGTCTACGTCTTTGGTCCCGCAATCCACCACGTCGCCAAGGCCGAGGAACTCAACACGTCCGTCGCGCTCGTCTACGCCTTCCTCAACGGCAGCAAGCCTTCGCTGGCGCCCAAGGGCCCGCACACCAACTACGTCGACGTGCGCGACGTCGCCGAAGCGCACATCAAGGCGGCGACGCTCCCCGAGGCGGCGGGGCAGCGCTTCATCCTCTCCGGCGGGCCCTTCTCGGACAACCTCATCGCCGCCGCGATCAAAAAGGCGTACCCGCAGTTCGCGGACCGTCTGCCCAAGGAGGGCTGGAACGAGAAGGAGGTCGCGAAGACGGAGATTGACAACTCCAAGTCGCGCAAGGTCCTTGGCATCGACTACATTTCCCTCGACAAGAGCATCGCCGACACGGTCGAGTCGATCAAGCAGTTCGTGCAGTAAAGGGCAACGGTTTGGTGGATACTCGACAGGAGAATAATAGAATAAAAATGTATGTATAATATAATAATGCAACAGCTTGGGTTTCATGTCCTTGTCAACGTTGGCGCTGCCGCCGGTAAGCTTCAGTTTCAGGGACCATGGCTGCGCTCGATCAGACGGCTATCGGGCGTGGCTCATCACAGCTGAGATTCTTCCGGGCGGTTCGACGTTTTGGCACTTCGTGCAGATTACGAAGTGTGGCCATGGACCGGCCCGGGGACAGCCGGTGGGTGCATTATACCGGTAGAATCAAAGCCACAGGTGGACGCGGAAATTCATACTCTAGACAAGCGCTTGCTCGTGTAATGCCAGCGTTAGTGTTTTGTAACCATGTCATGAAATGGCGTGCCTTTGCGTTGCAGAGGGGGCACTACTGAGGTGTCGGCCGAAAGGTCCAGAGCGAAATAATACCCTGTATTATTGACAAGAATGGGCGACGCCGTCTACGGTCCGTCCAGGATGCTATGGCAGCACAGAAACCATGTTGATGAGGGGATGAAGCTGGAACCGTGGTAGCTGACGATAGGGGGAGAGATATGCATAGCTCAGGATACGATCAAATATACGGACGTAGCAGACAACAGCGACGGAGTAGAGCGAACTCGATATGGTGAATATACAGTATCAGACAGAGACAGACGATGAACTCAACAGGGACCATGTAAGCTAGAGAGACGGAGAAAGGAAAGTCCTACAACCAAAGCGGGTGACCAGAACAACGGCACGCTCAATCGACGTCCATCGCAGCACCCGCACCCCCACGACCACCCCTCCGTCTGCGGCCTCGTCCCCTGCCGCCCCTGCCGCGACCACCACCTCGACTGGGGAGGTAATCCTTCGGGTCAGCCCCTGGAGGCGCAACGAGCACGGTTGCACGACTGTCGGAGGCCAGGATGGAATCCGACCGCATTTTTCTGTGAATTAAAATAAGATGTCAATATAGGAGGAATGGAGCCTGAAAGTGCTACTCACGATCCCGTATTCGTACTGGGACCATCAGTATCCATCAACACATCTACACTCCCGTCCACAACCGCCAACCCTAATCTCCCGCCGAGCGTCGCATTCGTACCGCCCACAATCTCCACGCGCAGCGTCCGCCCATCCGCCTGCTGCTTATCGAACTTCTTCACCGCCGCCTGCGCGTCCGGTGCGTTTTTGTACGTCAGGCGCACCGTGACGTCCTGGCCGGGGCTCGACACGACCGTGGCCTTGGTGATCGGCCCGCAGCGTTTGAAGATCGCCTCGACGTCCGCGGCGGTCGTCCCGCGCACGAGCCCGGTGACCTCGACGACGTTCCCGCGCATGCTCGCGCCCTTGATGCTGATGTCCCCGCCGCGCTCCAGCCCCAACGCGTCCTTCAGGGCTTTGTCGGCCAACCCGAAATTTGCTTTGGGAGGGGGCACGGAGCCCGTCGAGAGGCGCGAAGAGAGAGAGCGTTTGTTGTTGGACGCGCTGGGGGTGTCGAAAAGGTCGTGTTGCCAGGGTTCATCGGGGTTCCCTTTGGGTGGGCGACCGTTCCGGTTCTGTTGCAGTCCGAGACGCGAACGCCAGAGGGACGGAATTCGTAAGTTTTCGAGCGATACCTCAGAGTTTTGTGCTATGCACGCACGTAAGGACTTGCGCGGTTGGTGTTCTTCGAGCGAACGGGCCCGACACCGTCTGCGGGACTAATACGCTCGAGTAGGGAGGCCATAGTCGATAGTCCTCGTCGTGAAAGATGAATAAACAGGCGTGGTCGTTGGCTGAGACGGCGAGCAGAGGTGGCCGGCGATGGCAGCGCAAACTGGGGAATGGGAGGCTGTGGCGTTTGTTGTGGTGTATTTGTTCATGTAGGCCACCGCTAGCATTGCCTCGGAAGTTGCAACTTTGAACGCTCTTCGAGTTGGATTGCCACATGTGCCTTCGAACTCTACAGTGATGCTCTTCCGGTATGTAGGCATTTGGATAGGTCGAGAAGCTAGGCACTTTCTGGTGGTTTTGAGTTGCTGCTCATAGTTCGAAGTTTGCCACAGATCTCATATTGCTATTAGTGCCCAGTGAGTCCTGCAAGCTACTTCAGTATATATCACTTGCTTTACCAGGATATCGCAGTAAGTATCTATGCCATCATGTGGGCGGGTGGTACGGAAATGCATACTGAGCCCTTCCTTGAATTACCCGCTCATTGGATTGTATACAGTATCGTAAGGGATGGACTGTGACGTCTTTGCAGCACCGAAGGCCCTTTACAGAATGTGCTCTGCTGTCCTCTTTGCTTCGAATTTTTCTGGGTCTTCTCCGATCTTCTCCGATCGCTTCAAAGCATCCAGGCAGCAACTTGCTAACTCCGATGCTCTCGCTCACTTGCATCAAGTTACCTCGGATGGTATGGCTTTCCCGTTGACATCCAAGTACCGCCGTCTCAGACCCCGCTGAGATGCACTCTTCTGCTGAGACGACATGGCGAAAGTATCGTCCGTGTCGCATAGACAGTATAAACTCGTTGGTGCGTGGACATCGCAAATGGTTTTGTCCTTGACCTAACGGACGTACCGGTCGGTATGGCACGTTGGACCCTACCTATCTCGAGGCTTGGACGGAAGACATTTAGCGGGGTCTGGAAGCTAACGGCGGCAATTGGGGCCGAACCATCCGCAACATCACGTTCATAAGGTCAGTTTAGGACTACTCAATGTCTTATCAGTGTACCCTGCGCTCATGTAGGACGTCCATTATGTTTGCTCGCCGACAGTGGCCCTTCACATCCAGGCGATGCACCACCCGCCGAGCCATCCTTGCGATGGTAGAATGCATACATTTGATTGGACCCCGCACGTACTCCAAACGTATTGTAGGCGTATTCAGCTAGGCCTGCAAAATGAGGTGAGCGTTTGATCAATCCGAGGCACACCCCAGGCTACTTTGAGTGTGGCTCCTCATGGCCCACGAGCTGGGCAGATATCTCGAAAATAGCTGGCTTTCTGTGGGCGAACCTGACCTTGTTTGAATTACGGACGCTTCAACAGCGCGATCACTGCCGCCGCCACTAGTACCGCACTCGCCCGTTAGAGCCCCAGGAAATGCCGCACCACGTTCGAGCGTATGACATCGCTTACCTGCGAATGTACTGTAAAAGTTGAGAACGCTCACTGTTCTATTATCCCTGTTGGACCACCTATTGCATAGGGGACCAATGCAGACCAGAGGATGCTCGTCAGTCATAACATAGACCCTTACCTGGAACGAGCAAGCGGCACGTGAAGTCGGCGAAATCTTCCGGTCAAATACAATCGACGGAGTGAGGTACTTACCGTACCCGAGACTCAGAGATGAGGCTAAGTCCTCGGACCTTCTGGTCCGTTCTCCGAGGTCCAGTTGAGAGTCCTGCGCGCGGGAGACTCAGAAGTAAATCTGATCATAGGAAAGTTTACGGTCTTAATCGGATTACATAAGCAACTCCCGCCACCGCTGCAAGTCAAGCTCGGGAGGCGGGCAGATGCAGCCTCCTCCATGAGGGTACGGTAGGGTAGAAAATTCGGAATAAAATTTCTTTGAACTATAGTACATGTGCAGCTACGGTACAGTGCAGCTAAGTAAGGAATAAATACCAGGAGCAAGCAAGTAGGTCAGCTAAAGCTCGGGGCAAGCCACAGATCTGGGTGCCGAGTGGACTGTGATGCCGCGGTTGGGACTGTGAATTTCCCGACCCGAACCTAGCTGAGGAGGGGGTCGATTTTGGCGCGCGCCCGCGCCAAATCGCGTCACGACGCGATTTCCGCTGGCGAAATTCACAGTCCATAGCCTTGGCATTTACAGTCCCTCGGGTAGATATCTGGTTACCTCACCCGCGCGTTTGTAGGGTTCCCGAGCGCCTGATGTGCTTCTTTGACCCTCAAATATTACTAACAATAGCATAGATTATATTTGCAAGTATATACAATATTTGAA